ACGGGCGGGGGTGGGGCCGCCACCGCGCCCCCTGCCACTGTGGCAGTGAGCACGGCAGAGGGATGGCAGCTGCTGGGTCATGCATGGATCCGAAGCAGGGGACAAATGTTCCCTGGTGTCCCCCAGCTGGGGCTCTGGCCCCTCGCCTCTGTCCAAGCACTGGGGACGCAGCCACCCCTGGACCAGCCCTGACTGGTGGGGCCAGGCAGTGGCAAGTGCTTTTGGGGCGAGAGCTGTGACCGGGGTCTGATGCTCTGCAGTGAAATATCCTTCTCTTCACAGGCTGCTCTTTTTTCCACTGAGCGCTCATTTCAGTGGGTTACCCTGTGCTGAGTGATGGTATCTGATGTTTTCGGATTCATGTTCATTTTGTTGTCAGTGCTGGTGTCCCCGGTCCCAAACTGAGCTGTCAAACTGTCTCCAAAGGGAGCACTCCCCTCCGGCCTCACACACATGCCGGTCGGCAGCAGCAGTGTCTGTCTGTCTGTGTGTGTGTGTGTATATATATATACATATCTATATATATCTCTCTCCGTGTCTGTGTGTGTGCATTTGCGCACCACCTTGACGCTTGTCGGATGCAGTGTGGTACCGCTGTGCATCTCCAGCCAGGTCCGTGTCCCCGGGGTCTGTAGCACTCTGTGTGAGCTGTGTCCCCTGCCCCGGCCACCCCGCCCACCCCACCGCCATGTGCTGTACAAAAGAGTCCCCTAAATTGGGAATTAACCAAAGCGCAAAGGTGCCACGGTCGGCACGCTGTTTTTTAATGGGGATGAGGCCAGAAAGCCTTAAAGCAGGGTCAGAGAGAAAATCCCCTACATTTGTCCCCTTCTGGCAAAAGGAGAAGGAGTTAAAGCCTGGGCAGTCAGGGCACCCCCAGATCCAGGCCGGGTTTCCACTGCCACTGAAGAGGTGCAAGATGAATTGACCACCAGGTGAGCCCGAAGCACCACACCTGGGCTCACCTGCAATGGATTGAGAACCGGAGATTGTTTTTCAGTGGCGGTGTGACGGATGGTATTTCTTAGACTCCCTTTTCGGCCCACTTAAATTCTGCCCGTGGTTTGAGTGAGCAGGGCTGTCCACTGCCATCGGGGCAGAAGCAGCGTGCTGCCCTGCTCCAAGCCCATCCCAAGAGCTTGGCTGTGTGTTTATTTCCAGGAGCCAGAGGTTAGGGAGTTTCAAAGAGTGCAGCCCTCTAACCGTGGCACCTGCCTTCCCGTGGACACTCAGGACCACGCTGTCTCTGGGAGGGCCTCCTCCATGCCTCGTCTCACTGTGGATCCCCAGGTAAAACCAAGCAAATCCCCTCGGGTGCCGGGTCCAAGCAAAGCCTACCAGGTAACACTGGGGCTTCTCTCCACACTGAGCAAGTCCCACGATCCCCGCGGCTTCCCCAGCACCCCGATATGGGAGCATCTCCCCATCTCTGGGGTGCTGCATAAGTAGGAGAGCTGCTGTTCCCTTATGTGGGGGACACCGGCAGCAGAAGGCAACCAGGGGAACTGATCTGGCTCATGTGGGTGGTCCACGGTGGAGCAGGGCCATGCCGGGAGGTCGCAGGGTCCTCCTGCAGTGGGACACCCCTCCTTTCCCCCAGCCCCAGGTGCTGGCTGAGGTTCGAGGAGTCCCAGCCCGGCTGTCAGATGATCTCCCAGGTGATGAAACTCCTTTTCTTTCCTTTCCCGTTGTCCCAACGCACATGCTTCTCTGTTTGTCCAGGGGAACCCAGGCCACATGTCACCTCCTCGTTTGTCTGCCCGGTTTCTCTGTTGTTCTGTCTTGTACTCAGCCTCCACCGAGACACAGACGCTCTTAGGGGGTTCATTTTTGCTGTGAAGTCTCTGGGTCTGCTTTCTCACAGAGGTCCTGGTGTCAGTGCTGGCGTGACATGTTGTGGCACATTTGGCGGGGTGGGGGGGAGAGTGTGAAGAGGAGGGAGGCTTTGCCTTGTGGGCTTTATTGACCACTTGGCAGTAGGGGAGATGATCAGAAGGAGAAGATGGGAGTAGAAAGGGTACGGTGCAAGGAGAGGAGACAGGAAGAATGGCCCGAGGCTGCAGAAGCAAAAAGCCACTAGAATAAAGCAAAGGAAAATACAGAAGGAGGTGATGTTTTCCACAAAACATGTGCGAACACAACCTAGAAGGAGGGGAGAAGGTAAAAGGGAGAAGCATGGGAGAGAGAAAGAAAAGCAGGGGGAAGATAAAATGACAGCGTGAGTGGGAAAAGGGGGAAGGAGTGCATGGGGATGCAGCAATAAATGAGGACCAGGAAAGGGTCTGGAAAAGTGGCAGCAGCTGGGAAAATAAACACTGAGCGAGGGGCACCGGAGAATCCCCTCTCTGTCAATGATCTCTTCTTCAGTGTCTCTGTCTGCTCTGCTCGACCCTGTTTTCAAGGCAGGGAGGAATGCTGAGACAGGCTGGGGGGCAATAGCCTGCTACCCCCCATGTCCCCACACCCAGGGCAGGATGCTGCTCCTCTTCCCCTGACCCGCAGTGCCTTGGCTTGAATCACAGTCGCTGGCTTTCCTTGCAGAGCACTGTTCCCAGCCTGCCTGGGGCCGGGGACGTCACAAGCACAAAAGCTAAACCCCACTTTCCTCCCACCCCCGATTTGTGCAGAGGCTATCTGGGGGGGCTGTGCTCAGGCTGGCCGCCCCCCCACCCCGAATCTCCCCATCCCAGAGACTGGTGTGCCGGTCATAATGAGTGAACTGGTAATTGCTCATCTGCCGTCCCCCCCAGCCCTGCGTGGTGCTAACCCCCTCCCCGGCCGGCCGGGGTTGCTTGCAGGTGGTGACGGACACCAGCTCGATGCGGCGATCGTTTTCCACCATCCGGGACAAGCGGACCAACAGCTCCTGGCTGGATGAGTTCTCCATGGAGCGCAGCAGTGACAACACCTACAAGTCCCGCCGGCGCAGCTACCACTCCTCGCTCCAGCTCTCCGCCCGGCGCCTCAACGCTGACCCAGGTGAGCAAGGGCAGCTGACCCCACCCCACACCAATGCCAAAAAACCCCCAAAACCCCAGCTGAGCATCCCCCGCTCCTGGGGAGGGGATGGTGGGGACTGACAGGGATGTCCTGCAGGCCACCGGTCCGACGGGCATCGCTCAGGCGGCAGGGAGCGGGGCCGATCCAAAGAGCGCAAGCACTTGCTGTCCCCCGATATCTCCCGCTGCAACTCCGAGGAGAGGAGTCCTCAGGCGCACGATGAGTCGCCAGAGCGGCGGCGTGAGTCCCGGTCACCCAGCGAGGGCAGGTCGCAGACGCCCAACAGGCAGGTGGGTGACAAAAGCCCCTTCCGAAGCACAAACGGAAGTGTAGGAAAAGCTCCTTGCCAAACCTAGGAAGGTAAACCCCAACTCCGGGAGCTCTGTAGCATCTCTCCTCCCTGTGGTGGCATCTCCGTGTCCCCTGTGAGCTGGGCAGGTTGGGGCTGCTCAGGCACCCTGCAGAGCATTTGGGGAGAGGGATGGATCTCCACACTGATCCTCTCACCGCTGTGGCATCTGCTCCCTGCCAAGGTCGAGGTGTCCTGGCTACAAAAGCCTGGAGATGCTGATGCTTGGGTGTGCTTGAAGGCCACGGAGATGCTGCCCATAGAGATCAGCAGCTGGCGAGCTGTTAGCTCTTCCCGCAGCGGGTTTGCGGGTGCTTTTTACTTTTGATCACCAAGAGCAGACACCGTCCTCACCCCTGGAGCAGACCCCGAGGCAGGGATGGGGCAGGCGAGGGCACAGCAGGGCCTCATCCAAGCACGAGGATGCTCTGGGGAGCCCAGGCGCAGGGTTGGGGGAGTGGGTGCAGGGCGCTGCCCATCGCCCGTGTGTTCCCCAGCGTGTCTTGGTGCGTTGCAGGGAACGGGCTCCTTGAGCGAAAGCTCCATCCCCTCCATCTCGGACACCAGCACCCCCCGGCGAGGCCGCCGCCAGCTCCCACCAGTGCCCCCCAAGCCGCGTCCCCTCCTCTCCTACGCCTCCATGCTGCGGCACGCCGGAGACGCCTCGCCGCCCGCCGAGGAGAGCGAGGGGGGGTCCCCGCTCCTCTCCTCCACCCTGGAGCCCAACGCCTCTGGCCTGACCGAGTCTTCCAGCTCCCCGGCGGGGAAGCAGAGCCGACAGTCCACCCCGCAACGCTACATCTCGGAGCCCTACCTGGCCC